TAGTCAGATATATTCATCAGCGTTGTTTCGATTAAAAAATGGAGTGTGGATTAAAAAAAACTAGAAAAATGGCCTGTCAACGTGACACGATAGGAGACACGTGCAAATTTTCTTTCGACCAATGTGATCAGAAAAATGATGACATAGATTTCATAATAATAAACCTTTATGACCATGTAAGCTATCGGATTCATATATTCTGCCATGCACACTTGTATATACGGTTGATACGGACAATAATACGGTTGATACGGACAATACTCTGGCCTTTGTGAATCAGCAGTGCTATTTGTCATACAAATTTAATAAATAAGCTATCATCGAGCTTTAACGACCATTCGCAGATTAGGGGAAATTCAGGCATAGGTCGCATCCACTTGACTTTTTCTATGTATTAATACGATCGAGTGGAAATCCTGTACAGAATTGATGGCGGCTTATTCAACATAAACAGAGCGAGCCAAGAGGAAGATCTTCGGGCAATTATCAATGCATTCAACCAGGCGTTCATGAGAATCGGTCCAGAGGTCAACTTTAACAAGACGAAGATCCTGCACCAACCCGCATCGGGCACGAATCCCCAAGCCCGAAATATAACTATAAATGACCATTATTTGCAGAACGTACACTACTCATAGCTTGGGAGCCATCTGTCAGCGCTGAAATCCAACATAGCTTGAAGTGTGCTAGCGCGGCATTCGAGCGACTTCTAGAGAGAGTCTTCAACAATCACGACATCAGCGCTGAGATCAACTTTCACATCTACAATGCAGTTGTAATACCAACGAAACATGGACCACTCACAGAAGACACATGTCTGAAACCCGTCACGATAGATTCTCTACAGTTGATGACGGCAAATGATAGATCCTCATGGCGTCGAATAGTCCACGACAGACCACAAACTTTTGAAGAACAGCTACGCAGACACGAGAGAAAGAGGGACCGCAGGAACGAGCGAGAGAACAGAGGCAGAGACAATGCTGCCAGAGGCTGGGTGTGCGAAGACTGTGGAAAGGTGTGCGGCTCCAGACTTGGTTTATATAGCCATCAGAAAACGCACAATCGACGAGAATAAGAATAGGTAGTATAGGACATAATCATACTCGGTATGGAGTGATCGCCTATGGCGATGATGATGAATAATATTACATATATTACATAGCTGAAACATCAATTTGGCAAAACAGCATATTGAAATGCGTAAAATTGAGTTTCAAGTTCAATTTGCGGAGTAAATGATAATCTCCTGTGGTGTGGATATTGCGTGTGGTCTTAATTTAACCAACGCTGGCGAATCAATCAATCCGAGAATGACATAAAAATGGACTTTTTGTGTGGTTGCCGCTAGTTTTGGACCCCAATGTTCAGTAGAAATGGTGCTTTTAAAATATATATCAAGCTAGTCTTTGAAGATTGGCGCCTATAATTTAATTATATAAATTAAATTTCAACTTGAAAATGTTTATTTCAAAAACCATATAGTTTGTTTTGTCGCGTTAAATTTGGAATATTTATAAGCCGAATTGACATAAAATGTAAATCCATTTTGAAAGATGGATTTGATTAATGCCTTTCAAACGCAACAGAGAGATATAAAAATGTTTTATAGCAGGATGTATTGAATTAACTTATAAATCACGATTTTCGCCAAAAACTAATAAAAATAAAAATCCTTTCAAAAGGACATTTGATGACTGCGCATTGAAAACTGCTCTAAACATTTTACGACGCATTAAATTTTTTCACGACCGTCTTTTGTTTGATGCCAGGGACCTGAGTTATGTTTAATTAACTTTTCGATGTCCACTCGAGGCTTCAAATTAAACAGTGCCGGTATATTTTTAGGTACATACCTCAAATAATTATATTTGAATTATTTTTTCAAAATTATACTTATATTATGCATTCAAGTTATTGTGCAAATAGATAAAAAAAGTTTTGATTATTGTTTTTCGAAGCGCCTGGTACGTATTTTCCCACACTTTGGAGTTCGTCTATACTGCAAGTGAATAACTGATTAATTGATACAAGAAAATTGGTTCATTTATTTGCATGAAACACGCAATATTCTCACCAATTGCGAGGCCTATGGAACTAGAAATAAGTTATCATATTTATGAAAAAGAGATATATATTATAAAAAAATTGATTCAATAAAATACGATGCAAGTTTCTGTAGTTACGCTTCAATTTTTCAAGATTGGTCATGTGATTGTTTGAGTTCATCCGGATTTTATTGGCAATAAGTTTTTTTCGATTTTTGACTGATTTTTTTCTTTGCTTTTTTCTGGATAGTGCCAACTTTTTTTTTTATTGGCCCGCTCACAAAAAACAAAGTCTATCTAAAGCCGCGTCCAGATTAGTAAATAAATGCGTTGCGTTGAATTCGGGATTCGCCACATACTTTTGCGGCGCAAATTTGGTATCTTGACCGACATAAATATTTATGTTGTGCGCCGTGCATTCTTGCTCAACGCGTGTGTGCTTATTTTATTTCAGAGTGCGCGATGCTTGTTTTTGGTTATTTGTTTCGTTCGCGAAAAAATGCGTCCACACTAGAACGATGTTGCGCCGCAAATCCCTTTGATGACTTGAAGAAAACCGACAAGCCGCTGATCACGTGCGGTGAATGCCGCGAAAATTTTTGCGTGCGTCCGAATGCGGCGAACAGGTCCACCCTCGCATAAATTTGTATCGCACACGCAAATTTGTGCCGAATCACACGTACAACGTAAATTTTTACTAATGTGGACGCGGCTTAAGACTCCATGAGGGAAAAAGATTAGGTGACGAATAATCCTCCGTTTGAAAACGTTAAGGTTAAATCGTTCAGGAAATCAAGAAGTAGGCAAAGGTGAACGAGACGCCACCAAAAAGGAGCCCAATATTTAGAGGTCCCCAGGGTAGCCAACTTTACCACATACGGACCATTTCCTATGGTTATAGAGATAAAATAACGACAAGTCAGCCACTTTGCGTCTATGTTCGAGAAATTGCAAAAAATCGGTGGAAGAGATACTGAGGGATTGATAGAAATATTTGTCTTGACATCCCTAAAAATGGGTTATCATCGGCGACTTGAAACTGGGTTATCATCGGCGGAAGATTTCTTATTTAAGAATACTGTTGCTTGATGTTTTGGAAGCATTACATTTGACTGGGTTATTAAGGCCCCAGTTGCTAATGGTGTCAAGATCACTGATCTCGGATGAAGCGTGTGGAAGTGGCTGCAGTAAGCAGTTTGTCAGAAGAGAAGGATGCCATTAAGCAACTATCGTCCGCGAAGCTGTATATGGGCTTTCTTGTAGCATTTAACAAATCATATAATAAAATGATGAGAATCGAGCCTCGGGGAACGCCGGCATGTAGAGGCAGTGTATCAGAAGACACACCATCGACCATAACACCTGCCTTCCCAAAAAAGCTTCCCAGCCAATGGCAAAATTCGTTCCAAAGACTATACGATGGAAGTTAAGTTTACTGAGGAGACCTTTGTGCCACACGTGATCAAATGCCTTGACGATGTCCAATGCTACAATTTTGGATTTGCCATATTTTTTGAGAGTCGAGTTTTAAATAATTGAATGATGTTCGCCAGCAGATCCTCTGACCATTTAGAACGAAACCGTATTTTTTGTTAGAGATGGGCTTATTGCCTTTTTCATTATTTTCGAAAGTACGACGGATATTAGCGAGATGGGATAATAATTGCTAAGAAGAGTTTCCTTGCTTTTTTTAGGGATGGGGGCTACACTCTAGCACATTTCCAGATGAACGGGAAAACGCCTTGACTGTAAAAGAGTGAAACTGAAGCCAATTCTTGTGCGCAAGTTTTGAGGACCATTCGTGGAAGGTCGTCAAGACCGCAAGATTTCCCAATGTCAAGTTGCAGAACAATTTTCCTAATAGTTTTAGGTCTAAATACAACGTTGTCCATGTGAGAGCCAATGTATGGCAGTACCTACCTGTGGCGCTCTGCCATTTTCCTCTATCGTGGTCCGTAGAATTTGATGCAAATTGTTTGGCAAAGAGATCTGCTTCTTCCTTTGACGATACTACAATGGATTTATCGTCCTTAACTAAAGGTGGAAAGGAAGAAGATGTGAAATTGTTTTCCTAGTATGATCTTGGCGAAGGACCAAAAGGATCTTGATCTGCTCGGGCAGTCCAAAAGTTACTGATTTCCTTGTTTATGCCAGGATAATAATTTATATCTGAGTATTTTTTTTTTTGCTTCTTGCCTATCAACTTCATTGTACAGGGTTATCCAACGAAAGTACTTTCTATCTTATATACCTGTTAATTGAAGAGGTACAAAAAAATGTTAAATATAAAAGTTGTTAGGATTTTTATGACGAATTAGGAGCATTTATTTTAAAAAAAATGTAAAGGCGGGTTTAGAAAATACAGCAAAAAATTCACCATTTCTTGCCTAATTTAAATGGAATGATCCATTTTAGAATAAGTTTTTGGATTCTACATTAAATTTGAGCCCAGGGGCCTGTTTCATAAAAAATATTAGTCTAATAATATTACTCTTTAGCAAAAAGCATAAGTCAAAATTATGATATTGATAATATAATTTTGACTTATAATACCTGCTAAATAGTAATATTATTAGACTAATATTTTTTATGAAACAGGCCCCTGATATATGATACATGTCCTATAGTAAAATTTAGCATTTGGAGATATCCCTAATCAATGATTTTTCAAAATAAATTACGAAAAAAATTATATTTCATCGTTGGAAGCTGGTAAGAGTGGTAAGTAGTAGATAGTCAAAGCGGGTCCTAGCATCAAATTCCGACCATAACCTCAATCTTTCATTCTTGACACGTGGTGGATGCGCCGTCGTTGACACGAAGGTGGATGCGCCGCCATGGCCCCATCTTGTTGACAGATGGCGCCATGGGACCTGCTCCCGCAGGGCTCCGCCCCCCAAAAAGGGGGCCCGCAGGGCTGCGCCCCCCAAAAAGGGGCCCCCGGATTTTAATATGGGTACCAGAAAAAGGGGTGGGGGGAAATGTTTTCCCGCCATTTTGTCAACCGTCACCTGTCAAACGTCATCTGTCAAACGTCACCTGTCAAACGTCACCTCTCAAACGTCATGACGTCATAGCGGGAGTTTTGAGTCGTTCCGGGTTCTGTGATGACGTCATAGCGACCTGGGTCACGTCCGTGGAGTCATTTAGAGTACATAGTGCAAAGTTTGATTCAGGATTCGGGTTCTGTGATGACGTCATAGCGACCTGGGTCACGTCCGTGGAGTCATTTAGAGTACATAGTGCAAAGTTTGATTCAGGGTTCAGGTTCTGTGATGACGTCATAGCGACCTGGGTCACGTTCGTGGCGCCATTTAGAGTACATAGTGCGAAGTTCGTTTCATGGTTCTGTGATGACGTCATAGCGACCTGGGTCACGTGGGTTACGTCAGTGCGGGTCCGTGGCGCCATTTAGAGTACATAGTGCAAAGTTCGATTCATGGTTCGGGTTCTGTGATGACGTCATAGCGACCTGGGTCACGTCCGTGGCGCCATTTAGAGTACATGTGTCAAGTTTGATGTGTCTTATAACAGGATGCTGTGGTGGTGACGTAACTATGAGGGTCCAGCAGCTAGCTTCATGTTGTACCTGGTAGAGGGTGTTCGAACTCAAGGATGAAACACACCTACAGGATTGCTTATTGACCTCGTGTGTTACCATTTACGACGCCATAACTAAGCCATCAGCTGTTTAAACAACCTACGTCAAGGTGAGAAATAACATGCTGCTTACGTCACAACTGGTGATTTAACGTTGGGGAGAGAGTGGATTTGTTCCACACAGGCCTTATGAGGATAGGCTATCCTGTAGTAGTAGTGTGTATTATCCTTGGTTGGAACCAACATTTGATGGGAAAGGGGCCTCGTTTTTTTTATTAAAAACATACATTTTTTAAGACAACAATTTCAAAAAGCGAATATTTTCCATCAATAAACTGCTTAATGATCTAATCATTTTGGTGGTACGTCTTGGGAGAAACACTGCGTTGTCGTCAAATTCAACGAGTATTTCAAATCCATAGCTAAAAATATGCCACAATTGTATCGATTACCTAAGTATATAAGATATTTACTTACTAGGTTAAAATAATAATTTCTGTACAATAGTTTTATGATCTACCTTAATTTGTATAGTTTATTGGTTCCAGTAAAGATTTGCAATTATTTTGAGGTCTCTATCGTAGAAAATATTGGGAACTTTCACTTTATACCAGGTCTTATAATTTTCTCAGTGTTTTTGATCCTTTGTTGTAAAAAGACAGGCCTTGTTGATTGATTTCAAATCCATATCTAAAATATTCATAATTGTATCGATATTAGTAAGTATATAAGATATTCACTTACTTGGTTAAAATGATAATTGTTGTGCAATAATTTAATTGTTGTTGACGAGTCTCAAACAAGACTAAAAGAGCTTAGTTATTATAAAATCCGATTTAAACTTCGAAGTAATCACATACAAAAAACGCTACCAAAATATTGGGAATTTCACTTTCTATGAGGCTTCAGGTCTTGTAATTTTCTCAGTGTTTTTAATCCTTTGCTATAAAAAAACAGGTCTTGTTGTTGATTGATATTAGTATATAAGATATTTACTTACTTGGTTAAAATGATAATTGTTGTGCAATAATTTTATATTTTTCACTGGTGACGAGTTTGAGCAAACTGAAAGAAGCTTGTTATTATAAAATCCGATTTAAACTTTGATATCACATACAAAAGCACCGTCAAATGTAAACGCTTATTCGGCAGTTTTTTTATCTGAAAAATATCAGGACCATTCGCAGAAGCCGCCCGAGAAAAACAACAACACATTTTAAAGATAATTTTTTAGTTTAAGGCGTAATTATTAAGTTAGATATTTGATATGTCCATTTTTATTTTAAAAAAGGTGACAAATTCAATCGATTTATCAAAATTTAAAAGAATAGATTTAAATTAGCATCGTTGACATTTTATGAGCCAATAACCCTATGCAATACAAAATTTAAGTGGATACATTGTTACCTGTAAAAGATGAGGATTCAATTTTTATTCTTTGTACAAAAAACGCAGCATCCAGTACCAGTACTTTGAACCTGGATTTTCAAAGTTTAGTTTCTTGTGCGATAAGTGTCGGTTTCGAAAAACTGTAAGTACTATTTTTAAATATCTAAGTGATGTAGGATAAATCATGCCCTGAGACATATTTTGAATTAACACAAACCTCGATTATTGAATTATTTTTATTTTCCTTAACACATAAACATATTGTTTGTTTTTTAAAAATACAGACAACCCTGAGTACCTATTTTTTAATTTAATTCCAATAGTTTTTTTCGGAGCAACTTGAATTTACTTTTACACTTACATTTGCACAAAACTCAAATTTCTTTTTCTAAAATTTAGGTAGGTTCTTTAACCAATTTAAACTGGTTTTATTTTTTCATTTATTTTAAAACAAACCTCCATAAACAGCGAATTTTTAATTTTGTGTACAAAATGGTTCACCAGGAAGGAGATAACCTGAAACGTCATGGGATTGCTAAACATCTTCCAGGATCTGTAACCAATGTGGTGGGATTTTTAAAGCAGAGGGGGCTATCCAACACCACCCAAACACCCAGCTCCAAGAGAGCCTCCAAACGAAAGGCTGGAGATCCCGCCGCCCCCATGATGAAGCAAGCTAGACTTTTGCTGGTAAGTTGACATTAATCGAATTTTTTAAATTTAATTCAATTATTTTCAGGACTTTCAATATCAGCCACATGCCGGTGGTGTGAGAATTGCGATTTGGAGGCACCGATAAATCAATGGGTTGGTCATCTTCGGTGTCTCTAGCACCGAGCCAACACCTGGTGAAGCAGGAGGAAGACGTTAGTCTTGTCAAAACATCTTTCAAGAACCGAATTGAAACATAGCGGCTTTCATCAAAGCAGGACCCTATCAGCGTGAAGCACGTTTTGAAATTAGCTGTGGCATACCTATCCAGTATTAGGACGGACGGAGGACTGAATGATTTTATGACACAATTACCAGGATAGCAGAAAATGCGTATGCGAAAAAATAATTTAGAGCAAACAGTTAAATAGCGCAAGGATATGAGAAAACTAACTTCGCACATTCTTGAGCAACCGACCCACCGAATTCAGCAAACATGCGTACACGTACACGAGAAGAAGGGGTTTTAGAACTGGTTTTTCCTTTAACAAATCAGGGTAACTATGGAATAACATAATAGAGGACTAAAATATGACACAACCACTTTCAAGTTGAAACTGGAAGTAGCCTATAAGGGGCCCAAATAGCCTCAGTAAAATGCTAGAAAGATACCGGTTGCCACTACCACCCCCTGCTCATAAATAAATTTGGTCATTTGGGTTTTCAGGCATCCTGAACAAAAAGTTCACAGAATTCCAGGAAAAAGAAAGCGGTGTGTATCATTACAATTGAAGTGTTATATACTAAACAATGTCTCTTACAGGCTGGACGCTCCAACAACTTTAAGCTCTAAATATAAGTATCAATAGGATCATAACCCTCTAAAAGCCTATTCATATCTGCCAGTACCAGGATAACCTGTAACGTCATGGGAATTGCCGAACATCTGCAATCAATGTGGTGGAATTTTTAATTCATTTCATCCACAAATAACATGGGTTGAGGAAAAAAGTATGCGGAAATTTGGGATCTGTTTCTATTTAAATACTCAATATCTATTGAAAAAAAAAATATTCAAGGGTGACGATAAAGACGTATTTCATTTTTATGATTATGAATATTGCTACAATTTAGATGGTAGTCGCACTCACAGTCCTATTAACCATATTGGCAATGATTGTTGAGAATAAAAATAAGCTTTAGTATAAACTATGTTTTATTCTCCTGAGAATGACAGAGATGAAGCCACCATTGATCTCTGTATACCACCAACTCACAGTCAAATAGCGCCAGCACACACTTAACATAATATCATACAACTTTTACTTATGTTCCAAAATTGTATCAAGATTATTTTCATTTCAATAATTTTTGAAAAGAAACTTCTTAAACGGCTTTCTGCTATTTGGACGACAATGGAGAGTGATTTGAAAAACGCGTCACGGGCAAATTTCGTTACTCGAGAGAGAAGAAAGATGTAACGTAAAGGAACAGAGAAAGACAGCTATTGATTGACACAAACCAAGGATTATAAGCGTCGAGAAGAGTGCCCATTATTGACAAGCGCCGATATTGACGCAAACCAAGGATTATAAGCGTAAGGAGGATTGCCTATTATTGACAAGCGGTATTGGAAAAATAAAATCATTTCTGGCGAATTTCGAGGTTTTCCGGATATCTCTGGACAGCACTCGGAATTTTTGAAATATCAAAGCAGCATAATAATGAGCACAAAGTTGCACTATACTTTTTTCTGATTCAACCGACGTCGGGTCTCTTTCCGTAGGATTCCAATACAGGATTCGGATAGGATTCAAAATAGCTAGTATTCGAATGCTACCCAAGTCTCCCAAAATACCAAGTGTTATCACAGGAGTCTATTCAAAACATGCCACATTAGTAACAATTATCAAACTTCAAAATTGTATAACAGGAGACTTTCTCATTGAAATGAAGCATTACGTTGATAGACTTGTTACTGTTTACAATGCCAATACCCATTAAGTATACATGCCCCAGATGTAAGGGTGAAACTGATATACCTAATCGACTTTGTTTGCCTTGCGAATTTTCACAATTTGTTGAACAAAAAAGGATACCATCTCATTATTTTGCAAAACCCGAACGTAGAACCTAAATTATGAAGTTGTAAATTTTCTGCTAAATAAAACTTTTTTTATTATATTTTTCTGCTTTTTATTTATGACCTCTAGACTAGGTTAGGCTATAATAATTTAAACAAAATTCAACGAGAGCTTTGTGCACAACATTAGGATAGGCCATCGAATACTATATTGTTAAGCTTTTTTTTAAGTCGACACTTTCCGTATGGGGAGCAAAAGAAGGAAGGATACGGCAAAAAACAGGTGTGAGATCAGGTGACCATTGACGTACAATCGTAGGGAGTCACACCAACTCATATTGGAGTATCAGCTAGGGGATTCTTATCTTGTCACAAGTCGCTATGGCTCGCTAGCTGTCATTCGATACCTATTTCGATATCGGATGGAGAGTGATTCATATGTATTATTGTCGAATTTCGTATCGACATCAAATAGACGGTGGTATGGAAAACGAGAGAAAAATCGACCTTCAAATTTGAATGATAGATGATAGATTATGTTTAATATTTTATAATTTATTTTTCGCTTCAATTCAAACTATTTTTACTTCCAAAGATTCCTTTCGCGTTGAAAATAATGTCAATTTTTAATTATTATGTTGCAACGAAATCTTAAGACAGCACCGTCAACAGCAAAACCTTCACTTTAGACGCACGACTCGTAGGGTAGGAGAAACTTAAATTTACATTTTTCTTGTCGTCTCTCAACTCCACACTCCCGTCTTCCTTATGTGAGAATGACCGCGTTCACCAGCACTCAACATGTTGAGTGATTAGTCAGCGGCTTTGTTGAAAAAGATGAAATATAACGAAGGATTACATACACAAACGACAAACATAAAACATAAACACAACACATGACACCACAACTTGTCACTTCAAAATAGAAAAGGATAGCC